GCTTTAGGCTTTTTCCATCTAATTTCATTATGAGTTTATCTACCCTGTACCTAAGGGAATAGATTAAAATGTAATTAATGTATTTTTTTATAATTAATTTACAAAAAAATAATAAAAATTTATATTTATTTTAATGTTATTATCACATAAATAATTTTAATTAATCAATCAATTAAGTTCAAATTAATTTTTATCATTTTTTATATATATTAATTACAAAAAATATATTTATTTTATCCTTATCTTGTGCCTAAAAACACAAAATAAAAAATCCCTTTCATTATTTTGTTTTATTCTTGGTCATAAATTTCTTGAGTTCATGCCTATGAAATTTCTTCAACTTGGAGGGTCCCTTTCGCATTCATCCCTATGTCCTTATATTTGAGAAATATTTGAGGTTCAATTGAATTAAAATATTAGACCAATATTTGAGGTCCGTTGAATTCGCAAAAAATAACACTACATTAAAAAAATATTTTTTAAAAATGATCACAATCATACCATAAAATCAAATTTTAAAGTAAATTTATCAAAAGTTATTTTCGTCCATACCCTTTAATTTCAAATTTTAACAAATAAATTAGGTAGAATTATAACTTATTGTGTTTTCTTTCAGAAAAATGGAGCAATAAAACTTTGTCCAATGAAATTACTATAAAACATTAGCCAAACATTTTATCTGAAATTATTCCAAAATTCGAACTTCTTGGAAATCAAATCTCCTAATTACATCTCTTGCTACTTTCTAATATTGTTAGAGACATTGATTTATTTTTCTTCAATAGGGTTATGATGGTCATTGCATACACGAAATATAAAAGTACAATCTACCCGTTGACTCATATTTTTTGTACAATTTGTAATTATTTACAGGGTTAATTAGGAGAGGGGAGAATGGGATTCTGCAAAACTCGAACGTGCAACCCACTGAAAGTGAACAGTCCTAACCTAAGATCCAATGTCATTGGATCAGAACGAGCCGTTCAGCTGTTGACTCATATAAAGATGCGGTTTGCTTTAATAATATGAGCCCTACAAATAATCAACACGCATCTTGCTTCAGATGAATGCTCAAAAACGTTGTTTATTTTAGAATAAAAGCAAT